AAGGTGCTTAGTGTGGACTGGGGAGGAGGGCAACGAGGGAAGTGGAGATGAAGCTAGAAAGACTGTCTGGAGTCAGAGTGTGAAGAACACCGAGTGCCCTACTTAGGGTAGACACAAAACAGGTATGAGCATCAAAGGGTCCAGTTTATCTTCTAGAGCAATTACAATGTAGCAGGGCTGAATTTGTTTCTCTTCAGGCTGAGTCTTCCAAACCAGATAGAATCTAACCCCAAGCTTCCATTTGTCAGAGCTGGCCAAAGTTGAATCTTGTTTAGGGGTTGTTTGGGGTTGTCACTCCCTGGAGTTGTCCAAGAATCTTGGAGGGGTTTATATAGTACCCAGAAGACAGAGAGAAGGGGCCTGGTCTTTTTCCTGAGGTGGCCATTATCACAGTACCTGCAGCTATAGGGTACTGATGTTGAAGGCTGTTCCTCCATCTCCTCCAACCTCCAAAGCTCTCTGTGGGCTCAGAGACTCCACAACGGTCCTTACAGCATGGCCTCAGAGACAACTTGGAGTCTAGTCTCTACAAGCATAAGTAAGTGTCCCTTGGGAAAGATAACTCTCAGTAGCATCGATCCCTCAAGTCAGTTAAAGGCACTAGCTTCTCATTCCCTCCTGTGTAGGACAAGCCCATCTCAATCTTCCTCAGTGGTCCTGAAGCCCAAAAACTCTTCACAGATCTTATGTCCCATCCCCCAAAAGCCTACTCTACATTTGAAATCAACAGCAAATTGGTTAGCCAGGTGTGGTGGCGTATGCCTACAGACACAGCTACTTGGGAGGCTGAAGTAGGAGGACTACTTAAGCCCAGGAGGTTTTTGTTTTTTTTTTTTTTTTTTTTTTTTTGTGACAGAGTCTCACTTTGTTGCCAAGGCTAGAGTGAGTGCCATGGCGTCAGCCTAGCTCACAGCAACCTTGAACTCCTGGGCTCAGGCGATCCTCCTGCCTCAGCCTCCCAAGTAGCTGGGACTACAGGCATGTGCCACCAAGCCCAGCTAATTTTTTCTATATACATCAGTTGGCCAATTAATTTGTTTCTATTTATAGTAGAGACGGGGTCTCGTTCTTGCTCAGGCTGGTTTTGAACTCCTGACCTCGAGCAATCCGCCCACCTGGGCCTCCCAGAGAGCTAGGATTACAGGCGTGAGCCACCGCACCTGGCCGAGCCCAGGAGTTTGAGGTTGCAGTGAGCTATGATGATGCCATTGCACTCCAGCCTGGGTGACAAAGCAAGATCTTTCTCAAAACAAACAAATCAAACAATTCTATCTTGAGACTTTTCAGTTAAAATACGATTTGAGGTCTGCAAGGTGGCTCATGCCTGTAATCCTAGCACTCTGGGATGTCAGAGTGGGAGGATCGCTTGAGGTCAGGAGTTCGAGACCAGCCTGAGCAAGAGTGAGACTCCTGTTTCTATCAAAAAGAAAAAAATCAGCTGGGCGTTGTGGCACATACCTGTTGTCCCAGCTACTTTGGAGGCTGAGGGAGGAGAATCACTTGAGCCCGGGAGTTCTCCAACTGCTCATTGTAGTGAGCTACAATGACACCACTGCCCTCTACCAAGGGTGACAGACTTAGACTCTTTCTCAACAAAAAATAACAAGGAAACTGAGTACAGCTCCTCACAACACCCCCCTTGAAAAATAATGAAAAGAAAAAAAAAACAAATATGATTTGAGCCAGGTATGTTGGTGCATGCCTGTAGTTCCAGCTACAGGGGAGGCTGAAGCAGGAGGATCACTTGAGCACAGGAGTTTGAGTCCAACCTAGGTAACATAGGGAGAACCCCCATTCAATCCCAATCCATCAGTGCATCAATAAACAAACAAACAAACATGATTTGACAACTTTCCTGCCTCTATAAGTAGAGAATGATGTTAATTCTGTCTTCTAGTTTCTTTGGTCTGCAGAGACCACAAAGATGGCAACCTCTTGAAAGTTGTTCCTCTAGTTTTGCCATGTAATAATACAAGAGCATTCGGGTTAGCAGCCTACAGTTTTCCATTTAACTTTTTAAGACATGTTCCATTTTGTAGAAGTTTGGGATGTAGCTGATCCTTTGGGGAAAAAATGTGGCTAAGTATTTGGCTACAGTTTAAATATTTTCTCCTTGCATTCGCTCCCTCTTTTGTTAACTGGGTGCTTTTGTTAGTTGGACTAGCTTAAGCAAAATGATAAGAGGAATTTCATACATCTGAACAAATGGTCCCCATGCTTAAGACAGTGCTACCTAGTAATTTCAGGCCATAAAATCTCATAGCTGGGTTCTACCTCGCAGCATCCTTGCAGCTACAGCCCCTACTAAGAAGGACCTATCTCTGTGTATTTCCAATTCAAATTCTTAGGAGAGGGACTCAAGCTCCGGACAACTTTTCGCACTAGGCCACAGGTCCAGTGAGTCAGGGTGATGATCTCCTGGCTTGTCCTTTAGTCAGGTAAGTGGGCAAGAAGACAATGGGATCACTGCCTCACTATCTAGTAGCTTTGTCCTCATGGGCATGCTGCCTAGACTTGCTAAGCTTTTGTTTCTCTTGTGGAAGGTATGATTTAATTATAATATCACTTTCAGAGGATTAATTTTTGGATAAAAGTAGATCATACATGTAAAATCCTAATATACTTCTAGGCACAAAGTGACTTGAGAGTAAATGGAAATTATCACCATCCTTATTATTTTAGGAAAAACACTGTACTAGATACTAGAGATATGGAGATCAAAGTTGTACTTCCTCTACTAAAAATAGAAAGAAATTAATTGGCCAACTAATATATATAGAAAAAAATTAGCCAGGCAGGGTGGCGCATGCCTGTAGTCCCAGCTACTTGGGAGGCTGAGGCAGGAGGATTGCTTGAGCCCAGGAGTTTGAGGTTGCTGTGAGCTAGGCTGATGCCACAGCACTCTAGGTGGGGCAACGACAGTGAGACTCTGCCTCCAACAACAACAAAAAAGGTTGCACTTGCAAGGCCACCCTTGATTCTGCAAGGTGAGAGCCATGATAGAATCCAGAGTAAGAAGCTTACCTCTCAGTGAGATTATTGCATTTGTTCTCTGGGCTGTGTTTATCCATCCATCCAACTATCCAAGAATCAGAATTCAGATGTCAGATGTTTGTCTCCAGTACATGTGCTTATTTCAAGATGAAATCAGACATTTTTTTTTTTTTTTTTTTTGAGACAGAGTCTCACTGTGTTGCATCAACCTAGGTCACAGCAACCTCAAACTCCTGGGCTCAAGCAATCCTTCTGTCTTAGCCTCCCGAATAGCTGGGACTACAGGCATGCACCACCATGCCAGGCTAATTTTTTCTATATATTTTTAGTTGGCCAAGTATTTTTTAGTACTATTTTTAGTAGAGATAGGGTCTTGCTCTTGCTCAGGCTGGCTTTGAACTCCTGATCTTGAGTGATCATCCTGCCTCGGCCTCCCCAGAGTGCTAGGATTACAGGTATGAGCCACTGCACCCAGCCTGAAATCAGACTTATTTCTCATAGGGAAGCCTGACGTGGCGGTTGTCTGAGTCCATTCCTTACTACTTGTGTCACTGGGAAACACTTCTTAATCCAAATAGCTGCAATTTCCTCATCTGTAAAAAACACAAAAACAAAAACTAGAGATAGTAATAATAGCAATAAACAGAGTTGTGACGTTAACGCTCCCATAATGAGTGTTCAATAAACGTTAGCTATTGTTATTATCATTTATAATTCATTGTGCGCTTACTAGGGGCAGGGTATAGATGATCTCAAATTATTATAGTTACTGATGATTGATGAGCCAAAGGAATGGGAAGCAGGGAATGAGCCCCAGCTTTTGCCAAGCACCTTTGCTTCCTCATAGTACTGAGTTCTGGTACCAAGCACAATGCCCTTCCTTTCTTTTTTTCTATGTTCTCTTTTCAAATGCTCATTTTCGTTAAGGAGTCCTCACCCAGGGCCCCAATCTGGGTTTCAGCCTCTCTGTCTCTTAGCACAGGAATTGTCCCTCATTGCTGAGGCACTGGCTACGTTCTGCTGAAACAGGAGATCGCAAGCTTGTCTTCCTTCACTGCTGGGAGCTCCAGGGCCAGGACAGTGTCTGTTTGTTTTGGAATCCCCATATCCAACTCAGGGCTGAATCCCATGGATTTCACTGCAGCTCACCAAGCACAGCGACACCGCTGGAACACTTTCCCTACCTCGCCACTCGAGTGTAGGGGGTACCCTAGGGGCCAGAGCCTAGAATTTCAGAAATTCATGGACGAAAGGGTCCTCGGTTTACTCTCCTGTAAAATGAGTTGTTGGGACAGTTCTGAGGTCCTGAGAAGGGAAATAACTTGTGTCAAGCAGGCCAGCCAGTGCGCTGGCACGCGCATCGACTCCCAGTCTCGTGGAGGCTGAGACGGGAGGATCGCTGTAGCGCGTGATGATCGCGACTGTGAACGGCCACAGCACCCCTGCCTGGGCAACACAGTGAGACTTTCTCTCAAAAACAAAAAAAGCAGAAGCATAACCAAGACTCAAACCTGGGTTTCCTGCCAGTTTGAGCGAGGTCCACGACACCCGAGGCTGATCCTTGGGGACTCTCTCACTGGGAACGACCCCAAGGCCAGGGCGACGACGGCGGCCCTGTCCTCCCGGCTCTAGGGACCCCTGCAGTTCGCGCAGCGGTCAGAGGCTCCCCAGGGGGCTGCGGGACTCCCCGAGGAGTTGGAAAAGCCCCGTGCGCGCCCATCCGGAGAAGGGGCGCTCTCGGCTGCGGGCGACTGGGAAGTGCAGGGCGTCGCCGGGGGCCGTGGAGTGGAGACAGGCGGGGAGATCAGCACTCGGATCCCCCCAGGGCGCTCCGCCAGCCGGAGCCGCGGCCGCCCCACCCCCGGCCCCCGAGTCAGTCGCCCCGCCCCCGGGCCCCGTTTCCCCGGCAGCGGCGCCGCGCGCAGTCGGCCGAGCCCTCCCGCCGGCGTGCGGCTGCCGCGCGGGCCCGTGCGCTGGGCTGTGGGCTCCCGGCCGCCCGCGGCGGCATGGCCCGGCCCGTGCAGCTGGCCCCGGGCTCGCTGGCGCTGGTGCTGTGCCGGCTGGAGGCGCAGAAGGCCGCGCGGGGCGCGGAGGAGCCGGGCGGGCGCGCCGTGTTCCGCGCCTTCCGCCGCGCCAACGCGCGCTGCTTCTGGAACGCGCGGCTGGCGCGCGCCGCCTCGCGGCTGGCCTTCCAGGGCTGGCTGCGGCGCGGGGTGCTGCTGGTGCAGGCGCCCCCCGCCTGTCTGCAGGTGCTGCGGGACGCCTGGCGGCGCCGGGCGCTGCGCCCGCCGCGCGGCTTCTGCATCAGGGCGGTGGGTGAGTGCGGGGCCCAAACGGGAGGGGCGCCCGCGCCAGCTGCGGGTCCCAACTCCGGGCTGCGCGGACGAGTGCGGTCCCGGCTCCCGGCCACGGAGTGGAGGCGCCACTCTGCGGGAGTGCGAGCTCGGGCTGAGGGCCAGGCGGGGTGGCAGGAGGAGGGCTGGCTTGCCAAGATGCCGCGGAGACACCACAAGCTACAGTCCCCACGGTGTGCCGGCAGCTGCCAGGGCCAGCTCCAGGACGCCTCTGTTCCTCAACTCTTAAAGCCAGTGGAGTGCGCAGGTTCCTGGCAGAAGGAACTTTCTACTTAGAAAAGTGATGGAGAGCGAGGCTGCGCTCCAGGGGGATGGCCCGAATTTGCCAAATCTGGCCGCAGCTTTTTCTTTCTCTTTTTCCTTCCTTCCTTTCTTTTTCCACTTTTTTAATTACAGACTTGAAGCAGACGACAGTCTGAGGTCTTCATGTCTTACTGTACTGGATGGTGCGCTGGTCTTGGGTCAGGGCCTAGCAGAACAGGTCCCTTACTGCTTGGGAAAAAGAAATAAGCGGTGCTCTGGACACGCCCCGTCCCATTAACTGAATAGAGAGGATTCCACCTTCCCAGCCTTTTCAGACTAACCGGTTTGTTAGAAAGCAGACAGCTTTTTGCCTGCATAAAATAGTTTCTCATTTGAGAAACTAACCCCCTGCACCAGTGAGTGGTCTCTGACTCTGGCCACTAAACTCAGGCAGGCTCTCAGCTGCCTGTAACAGCTCAGTTCTGTCTGTCTGCATTTATGTGGGGTTGCGAGGGTCATTTAATGGTGTGTTGTTGACAAGTCACCAGTTGTTCCAGCCCTCAGTTTGACTCCTACCAAGGAACCCCTCTGTCTTACTCCATAAATCTTCTGCCTTCCATCTGAGGAGGAGGAACAGCATATAAAAAAACTTTTGTTTTAGTCCTTAGGGATAAGGGAACAGGGCAGCAAGAGACACCTGGTACTGTGCTTCATCTGTTCAGAGGTGGTGTCTCCATAGCCCAGGCAGCCCAGGCCAGTGCCGTTGGTTGAACCTTGACTTCTCACCTCCATGCTGTCTGTCCCCCCCCCCACCTCCACTCCCCTTTTTTCTTAAGAGCAAAAGAGAACTCATTACAAAACCACATACACGTGTTTCATCTCCTTTTACTTGCAGGAGTGAGTGGAGAAACTAGGTTTCTGGCTCTGAGAGCAGTGAGCCAAGTAGCCAAGCCAAAATCCTCACGGAGGAAGGGGTCTTTCAGACAGGCTGCATGAAAAACTCTTTTCAGTTCTGTGTCCTCAGTTTTTCTGGTTTGAATTAGTGGTTACATTCTCTCGTTCCGCACCCCCTTTCAAAGGGTGAGCATAGAGTATATTGAGACCTGGGGGTGAAATAAGAGAGGACTGTGCTAAGTCAGGCAGCCACTACTCCCCTACCCGGGGGTCCAGTGAGCAGTGGTGAATGCGGGTGACTGGGTTGTTGCTGTCTGATGCCATCTGAAAGATGCAGCACGTCACCTGGTGCCCTCTTTCTCTGCCCACTGGGTTATGGTGCCTCAAACATGACTCAGGATGTAATGGACGTTGTATTCTGTGGGGTGTGAAACCCAGTGGTCTTTCCCCTGTGGCATCCATCAACCTTGACTTGCATCTCTTGGCAGGAATGGTTTTGAGGTTTTTATTTTATTTTATTTTTTGAGACAGAGTCTCACTCTGTTGCCCAGGCTAGAGTGCCGTGGCGTCAGCCTAGTTCACAGCAACCTCAAACTCCTGGGCTTAAGTGATCCTCCTGCCTCAGCCCCCCGAGTAGCTGGGACTACACGCACATGCCACCATGCCTGGCTAATTTTTTTTTCTATTTTTAGTTGTTTGGCTAATTTCTTTCTATTTATAGGAGAGACAGGGTCTCCCTCTTGCTCAGGTTGGTCTCGAACTCCTCAGCTCAAGCAACCCTCCCACCTCGGCCTCCCAGAGTGCTAGGATTACAGGTGTGAGCCACCACGCCCAGCCGATTTTGAGGATTTTAATAACTGAGTCCTGACAAGAATTTGAACATTTAGCTGGAATTTGGACAAAACCACCCATTTTGAATTTTGAGGCACAAAATGGGGAAAGATCTTAATTGATGCCAAGTGATACGTGCAGGTGGGGAGCAGAAGGGACCCTTTTGTTTTGAATAGGGTTAAATAGGGTTGCTAATTGCTAACTAGAGGTCTAACTTGGAGTCGCTGGGTCAGCATAGACCAGGCATCATGGCAGCTCTTGGCCACCTTAGAGTCCCGGAGGGTGGTGAAGGCATGAGAAGCTGCTTCCCCCAAAGGAATTGGAAGTTTTTTTGTTGTTGTTTTATTCAGGATATTATGGGGGTACAAACATTTTGGTTACAAATAATGCATTTGCACTGCCCAAGCCAGGGCTATAAGCATGTCCCTCCCCCATATAGTGCCTTCTGCTTCCATTAGTTGTGGGTTAACCCCCCACCCCCACCCCCATCCCTGACCGGCACACAGTGAATATTACTACCATGTGAGCACCTTAGTGTTGGTCAGTCAGTACCAGTTTGATGGTGAGTACAATTGGTGCATGTTTTTCCCTCCTTGTGATACCTCCCTTTGAAGGATGGGCTCAATTTCTATCCAGGATAGTATAAGAGGTGCTAGATCACCATTGATTTTTGTGGTTGAGTAGTATTCCATGGTATACATATACCACATTTTTTTTTTCTTTTTTTTTTTGAGACAGAGTCTCTGTTGCCCTGGCTAGAGTGCTGTGGCATCAGCCTAGCTCACAGCAACCTCAAACTCCTGGGCTCAAGCAATCCTCCTGCCTAAGCCTCCCAAGTAGCTGGGACTACAGGCATGCACCACCATGCCCGGCTAATTTTTTCTATATATTTTTAGCTGGTCAATTAATTTCCTTCTATTTTTAGTAGAGATGGGGTCTCCCTCTTGCTCAGGCTGGTTTTGAACTCCTGACCTTGAGTGATCCTCCCAATTCGGCTTCCCAGAGTGCTAGGATTACAGGTGTGAGCCACCGCACCCGGTCTATACCACATTGTATTAATCCACTCATGCATTGATGGGCATTTGGGTTGTCTCCACATGCTTGCAATTGTGAATTGTGCGGCCATAAACATTCAAGTGCAGATGTCTTCATTGTAGAATGTCTTTTTTTTCCTTTGGATAGATGCCCAGTAGTGGGTTTGCTGGTTCAAATGGTGTTTCTATGGAATTGGAAGTTTTGGTCTGGTTGCTCTCCCTACCCTGGCAGAGTTGGCTTCCAGAAGCCAAAATGGACATCCAGGAAGGGTAGGGAAGAGCTGCTGTGGACTTTTGCAGGCTTGTGCTCCATTCTCCCTGTTACTTTGTAGGAAACAGCAAGATGCTAGAAAAGGACAAAGGATCAATTTGGTCTCTTTGCTGTGGATTTTTTTAAAGGCTCATTTACTCCTACATGAAAGCATTTGGGCACAGGGAGTATGCTGGCCAGCTCAGACAGAAATGCAGGGAGGCAAGGAGGGGTGGCCACCAGCTTTATAAACCCAGCTGTGCTCCCTTGCATCCTTTTCCGGCTTCTGGGCCTGGGGCTCATGGGGCCTCCTAAGACATGAGCAGACAGGAGTAACTTGAGCCCCAGGTGCAGACCTCAGCCTTAAAGCCTGCGGGGGCTTTTGTTCTCTCCTAGAGTTCTGTGCCTTTTCTTTCCTTCTTCTCTTTTCCCACCTCACCTTTCCTCAGGGGAGAAAAATAGTTCCCAGACCGAGAGTATTTCCCTAAAAAGAGGGACGTTGGAGCTTTAGCTTGATTAACAAGGAGCTGTTAACTGTTTGTGGTTCCAGTCCTCAAGTGTTTTGCTTTTTGTTTTTCCTTAGTCAGTGACATTAACAAATGAAAGGGTGAGTTCTGGAAGCTCCTGGGAGATAGCTGCTTACCCAGCTGAGCCGCTTGGGGTGGGCAGGGTAGGGGTGTTTAGTGAGGGGGGGACTCCTGTGTTTGTTTGGAAGAATCTGTAGCTACTCTGAGACCACACCTACTGGGATGCAAAAGGTTAATGGCAGGAGGCCTCTGAAGAGGGAGGGAGGCCACTTGGCTAAACAAGTTTGTTCCCTTCTCCTGAAATGTATGGCTGAGGTGTCTCCACTCTCTTACCCCAAGCAGGGCCTTGCATCTTTTCTCACTGAATAAAAATGCCCCAAATGCCTGTGCCTCTTTTTCACTTTCTTTAATGTGCAGGAGGTTTGAGGGAGGCACATCTCATGTGGACACGTGAAAGCCTGTTTGTCACACTGCTTCTTTTTTTAATACTTGCTTCATGAATTTATTCATGTGGCAGGTACTTATTCTAGGTGCTTCTGCATTTTAATGCATCTTTCATTTGGATTTGCTTGTGGAGTCAATCTGTTCAGTTCAAGAGAGGAGGCTGAGTGGGAGGCTGTGATCCCGAAGCTGGCTGGTTCCTACAGTCTTCTCCATCCCACAGTGACGTGTGTGGGCCCTGCAGGTTTGCCTGTAGTTGAGCAAGTGTTCCCTGGTGTGTGCTGTGGGGGTTACTGAACATCAGGCAGTTCAGGCTGGCCAGAGGGAGGTGGTGGATCTTCCTACCTCTCCTTCTGCCCTTGTACCTGCTCCTGGAAGCACCTCTGAGCACAGGCTTCCAATCACAGAGAGATACCGAGGCAAAATTGCAAGTGCTACAGGAGTGTAGAGACCAATTGCCAAAGCTAGATGTCGACTGATTTCACACTCTGTTCTGGGATCTGGTTTGGAAGAGGAGGTACATTTCCAGGGTGCCTGGTGCCTGGTGCTGCAAGAGTTGAGCAAATCTCTGAACTGCTGTTCTTACTTGTTCTGTGACTTGGGGAATGTCATGGGGGAGTGTATAGAGATGATGAGGAAATAGAGTGGTCCAACTCCTACTCTGCCTTGTTTCTGAAGTCCCACCTTGGATGGCAGCAGGGCATCTTATAAGGCTTAGTAGCCAATGGAGTTTTTTAAGTGA